TTGTTGTTGTTGTTGTTGTTGTTGTTGATGTTGTTGTTGCTGTTGTTGTTGTTGTTGTTTCAAATAATAACTAAATTGTCTGTTAACATCACCTATATGCTTGGGGGCTGTAATTGAAAACATAGATCACAATCTAATTCACCTCTCAATTTTAGGTTTAGATGGGAAGATCAATGGAAAACAGTTGTAATGATCTAATTAATTATGGCAAAATTAAAAGCAAGTACAAAATCAATCTGTGATGGTGTCGAGGATAGAGTCAAATTGATATCCATCTGCTCCCGTTATAAAGCACATGAATAAGCAATCTAAGGACGCAGCTGATATCCTGCAGTTTGGCATAGCCTACCCATATGGCTTTGGGTGTCAGGAGACACCAAATCATTGTGGGATATTACAAGTGACTCCCGGTATGGTGCGGATGTTCTGGCTAATAGGGGAAAAATAGATCCAAGGGAAATGTATAAAGAATTACAGTTTTGTTAAATTAGCTTTTAAATATGTCAAATGCAATAGTTGACAGTGAATGCATCACGGCTATATCAGGTGAGTTTTCACCGTGTTTACTTCACTGACACCTGGATGTCCTCAATGAGATACATGTTTTAATGGCGTCTATACATCCAAGTAATACTGATTGAAGTCGCTCAAATTTTAAAATGATTACACTGATGAACATAAATCAATATGTCATTAAAATGACCTCTCAATAGCCCAACGTGTATACACAAATACTTTACAGGTCCAAACGTTAAGTTAACAAGATTTACACACTCAAACTCAAACTTGCAGTGACTGCCAAACTGGGGTCAGGGACTCTTGGGGGTCCTTAAATGTGTTCCAAGTTCCTTGTAAAATAAAAACAAAAAGTTAAATTTCTATGCATCTTTTATTTCACCCTCCAAATGCATCTTTTACAAACAGATATTTGCAATTTTTCAAATACTTATAAAATGTTGCTTTAATCAGGGAAGATAGGTGATCAATGGACCCTGACGTGAAAATGTTTGGGAACCCCTGCATCGTCTCAAACACTCAGTAAAGACACAACAGGAAGATAAAAAAAAAAGCATAAGCAGTATCGATTGTTGACGTAGACACGCGTTACAGGCCACATGTTTCACAAAACGGAAGAAAAGGATTTGTTTCGCCCTTCGTGGAAATTCATCACCCTCCCCTCCCTCTCTGCCCCCTCTGTCTTTCCACTTCAATATTCTTATTCAAATACCAATAACAACAGATTTATTATTTTGTATTATTGGTTCAATTGTATTATTTAATATTTGCATTTACAAAGGGGGTGTGAGCGTATTTTTAAAGGAAGCATTATTCAGAACACAGGCCTAAGATTTAACTTCTACTGATATCAATAAAAAAAACACTATGCTTGGAAAGCTGGAACCTTTTTGTAATTATTTTAAGTGTCTGAAATATATTAAAATCAAATGTTCTTATAGTGTGGGATAACTGTTCCGAGGCACTTTATTGTATAACGCAGTCAAAAAAAAAATCGAAAACAATAATCGCATTAGGTCCTTGGTGGCTGGGCTTTTAAAGGGGTGAAGTCAGGACTAACAGTTCCTTAATTATCACGCCGTTTGTTTTGCTGTGGTGCTGTGACACCGGGACGTCACCGTAGCAGTGCACAGAGGTACGGGGGGCAACTCGGGGTGTTGTGGGGGAAATAGCAGCAGCTTTAGGGCAAAAGTGCATTGACGTGTGAAATTACAGCCCATGGTGCTACATATTGTACCAGAAGCTCCCCCCCCCACACACACCCCCGAAAAAAAAGCAGAAACAAAAAGAGGAATCGTCCTCAAACTTGTCCAGAGGGCAGCTGGCCGCAACACACGGAGCCTAGTGCCATGAAGTCTACAAACCCTCTAAATGACCTATTATTATTATTATT